CCCCTTTCTCCTTGCTGTTACTGGATTCTACTTTATGTCTGTTTTCTCTGGAACGGTCACAGGTGGAATGGCTGGCAGTTACATGAACTATAACCATCAGTTCCAAAAGAAGATGCCATGTGCACATCTATAAATCCCCTCAGATTACTCCAGTGGGTACTAAGCTCAAAAACTCATGCTTTCCATGATCCCTTCAGATTCCAACATTGGACAGCTCGTATGACTTTAGGTCTGTATAGATAAATATGAAAATGTGACATTCTATTAAAGCCTAGAATACAGACGTGTCTCAGTTATTGAAGATGGCATCATAGCACGTGAAAATGGTAACATCTGTAACATGGGCAAGAGAAAAGATAGAATACTGCAGAATGTATTTCATAAAAGTGGCTTTGTTCTCTGGGCAACTCTTTGCTACTGCAAGTTCACAAATAACAATGTGAGTAAGCAGCCGGAGCTGAACATGACCACATGCTGTTCTCTCAATAGATTTGGAAGGCAAAGAGAGGACAGTGTAAATCAGTCCTACTTCTGTAAGAAGGAGAAAGTGTTGTCTTCCATACCGAAGGTCTTCATTAATATTTTTATGACTTTTATGGCAATGATCCCATAGGAAACAGAGGTCCGATGACCTTGTTGCATCATTAAGGAACTGCACTTTACACTGGCTCTTTTACTTATGTGTGACACTCGAGGGTCCTGGTGAGATGTACAAAGCACAGAAATCTTTTGTACCATCTTTCCACATCTGTGTTTCTTCTGAAGGCAAAGGAACTAGCATGGAGGGATTCTCGAGACTTGAAGCAATGGATTTGTTTTTAAATCCCCATTTAGCAATGTGTGTGCTAGAAATTGGTGCTTCTTATAAAGCTCACCCGCATGGGCTCTATGAGGCTTTCACAGGATGGGGTCTGGAGTGCTCAGGGCTCCGCAGTTACTTGGGGCAATGAAGAATTCTTGATCCCAGTGCATTGCCAGCATCATTTTACCCTAGGCATGATGTGGAAAGGATTGGAAAGCCTTGTTCTTTGCAACAATGACCATTGTTTGCTACTCCCTCTTTTGGGACTGAAAGATTCTTCTGGAAGACTATTCTTTAACTAGACAATAAATGAGATCACGGTCTTAATACTTGTTATTCAGTGCTGTAGAGATGAAGTAATTCCACGACAGTTTTTCAGATGACACGCAGATGAGGAGCTAACGGAAGCAAAAAGAGAAGTCCCCTTTGTTGTAGTAAAAATCTCAGGTATTTGGTGGTAATTTAAGAGAGATTTTTGGATGTTTTTCAGGCACTAACTTTATAAAAAAGTGCCCTCTAACAAGAAAACACCTGCACATCACATATTGCTGTATTAGATTCATTAAATCCTAGCAAACTTTGTACGTCTTATAATGGGGTGTTTGCTTTCCTTGTTGTACATCGTAAGAGATTAGGCCTTTATTCATCAAGAAATAAGGTATCAAAACTCATAGTGTTAAAGTTTTTATGCTGAAAATACAAGAGACAGTTCATAAAAGTGTCAGAGAGAGCATTAAGGAGCTATCTTCTTAGGGCCGTTGAAAATTTGTAGTACTTCGAAAATCACTGTTAAAAATGTTCCCAGTCATTCTCTGAAGCCTTCAAAGAAAACGTCTGTTTAGTGTGTTTTTCAGTAATGCTATTTACAACACTTTAAAAAGTTTATTCATAATACTACGTGCCAACAAATGTAATTAATTTTGCCTGGGATGTGAAGGAACCCATAGAAAATAAATGAAAGAGGGATATTGTCTTGAAAGGGGACTCCTTTAATGTTTTCCGTGGCACTGGCTGCTTTTCCATGTCACTTAATGCTGGTGTTATATTGAATTACAAAAGAAGTCTGTGGGGTTGCTTCAGAACTTTTTTTCCTGCATTATTTTTCATCTATTAATCTCGAGCCAACACAGAAGCTCCTACATCATAAGTCCAAATTGTAGCTCCAAGTAAATTTGGCCTCTTTCTATATCTACTTGCTGAGCTGCTTTCTAAACAAAGTTCATTTTTCATAACTTCCATGTATCTTTATTTTTTTTTTCTTTCTGAGTCCCTGGGATCTCTAATAGCCTTTCTGATCCCTTTTTAATTTTTTGATCTTTTAAAAACTATCTCCCTGTGCACTTTCTTCTGGAAGGAATGCTACAGAAAAATACACAGATTTTCTCTTCCAAACAACATGCAGTATTTTGTATTCATTATCTCATTATCTCTTCCATGGTTTGGTTTTGGAAAAGAAACATTAGAAAGCATGCAGCAAAAGAGTTTCATTTTCTCAGCTCGTGGGGGTGTAATAAGATATGCCAGTGTCTACCGAGATTCAAGCTCTATCAGAAACAGAAGTGGTCAGTGTTCAAGTAATAGCAGTAACATGGAGGTGTATGGTTTTGGTTATATAGGTCTGATAGACATCAAATACTCACCATTTCAAAAAATAATCATAAGAACGACTGTAACATATTTAATGATGTAAGAGCTATAGTCCCCACCCTGTAGGTGCTCACAAATTCACTTTCTTTGTGATTTAGGATCTTGCCTGGAATACAGTGGGATTACCCACAGTGAAGACCAGACAGTTTCATATTTTATAGTAGAGAGAGTTCTGCCTGTGCATTTTATGTAATGATCCAGTTGGCATCAGTGAAATCTCCCCATAAGAAAGTTTCACGTGCTGAGTTTTTGAATATAAATTATGTAAAAGTAATAACTCTAATGAACAGTACTTAAAACATTGCAGTTGATGGTGAATGTTCTGTCTTATCCCTATGTTTATTCTCTCTCCCTGACACTTATATTAATTTTATTTAAAAAATAATTTTATTTTAAAAACAAGACCTTCATATTAACTCATGTAATGTAGAAGGATATTGGAATGAAGTAAAAGTTCTCTTTACTCTCTGATTCCTCATTTTCAAACCACAGAGTTGACGACTTTAGTATGTGCATGTACAGGGGACCCTCGACTTACAAGGTGATCAGTTCCTGAGGGTTACTCGTAACTCAAGCAAGTTGAAGTCAGTACAGCTGAGATCTGGATGTTTACCTGGGTATGCGCTATAGATAACAAGAGGCAGATGAATCTTCCATTAACCTAATTAACCCATTTGTTCATATGTTTGCTTCATGAATATAAACTCATCAACATTTCCCACCTATGAAGCTATTCACTAAGACCGGTCAAAGCTTATACCAGTCTTGGTGAACTGATGGCATGCATGCTGCATCTGGCTGTTTGTTACTGTTGAAAGCTCTAAAAGGTTTGCCATCACTGGCCAATACACGTAAAAATAGATGTCTTGGCTCTTCTTGTCTCTGCTGGGATTAATCAGATGATCTCACAAAGGAAGAAGCATTTGGGAGGTCAGTCAACAGTGATTTATTAACAATCACACAAGTGTTTCATTATTTTAGCCACCAGCTTTTTCATAACTGTGCCTGAAAGGAAAATACTAGTCCTAATCTCCATCCCTGGAAAGCCAGTGATTTCCCCACCCCTAGCACAACACGTGCCCTCATGCAAGTCCAGCCCTCAGATGATTATGACCCCAGGCACCTGTGCCTTTCCTTGACTATCTTTGTGCCTTTCACGCAGCCACCACGGTTCTCAACATGCACCACACCACAGATACTCAACATGAATTCGTGAAGATCTCATCTGGGACCAATGAAGCACATGGCGCTGACTTCTGGAGCATTCCTTTCAGGAGCCCGCCTGTGTCACAGGGGCCCTTTAGTCACTTGGTAGTGGAGTGGTTCTGTCCCCTGAGCTGGCCTTCTGGTTATGCTCCCAGTGACCCCAACCCCAATGCTTAGTGCTGTCAAGCCCCCCATGTCCTATAGCATTTACCAGTCTCGAGCTTGTCCTACTGCTTCATTATTTTGTACTTTTCATGTCTCATTTTTTCCATATATTATCAACACGGTTTTGGTGGGGCAGGACTTAAAGTGTGTATTTCTACATAGGGCGTTGCATGTAGATGCCATTCGGCAATGTTTGTTCATTGTTCTTTTGGAACTTCAAACAGTGTTGGTAAAGATGCATCCACGCCCTATCAGAAAACATGCCAAATATTTCTTTTTTAGATTCCCCAAATTCTATGAAGTTTTGAGGATGGAAGATTTCAACATTATCTTCAATTGTCGCTGTAGACTTTTTCAGTAATGATACTTCTTTCTTCACACTTAGCTCTTGTAAAGAAAAAAAAACCCTTTATTTAGGTATGTTCCAGGTGCAACCAATTGTCTGCATCTCACTGGAATTTCTTCTCTGTTGTTTCTGTTTGAGGATGTAGCCGAATTGACATTATTTACTGCTGGGTTCTTTGCCAGGTTCTTTACATGTTACCTCATTGAATCTCAACCATCTCTAAGTATTGTGCTTATTCTTGACTTTAATTTAGAGGAAAGGAAGATACGAGTTGGGAAAGTAATCTTCCCAGGTTCACATAAATGGTGGCCTCACAGTTCCAACACAGATTGTGTCTCCCAAGCCCTTGGTTGTTTTTGTTGTAACACATGAAGTCCATTTAAGCCATACTCATGACAAATCGAGTGAGATAAATAAGCATGTTTTCCAAACTGTGAAGTACTGATCACATGTGTAATTTCTATTGCATATTTTATTGTCCTTAATATCTAAAATGAATAAACTGGTATGCAGCAGAGGCTTTCAGTGCTAATGGTTACAGTGGTACTTCAAAACTTAGGTGGGATGATGGCAATGATTTGCTGGAGAATTAAAATCTATCCTTAAACCTTTGCTTTTAAAGTCCTGGTATCTAAGCGAGATAGATACATTTCTTAGCAAAAAGTTATTAAGTGTGAACGCACAGTGGTAAAAATCATTTCACAGAACTTAACAGCGTTACCGTCTAAAATTAGAAGTCAAAATTGCTTGTAGCGTTTAACCTTGAGCTGCATCTGACATGAAACAGTGAGGCTCCTTGGAACTCAGGTATTGTCCCGGTTACCTCCCACCCAGGTGTTCCAGATCGCCTACGTGATTGTGAAGGCGGCCAACTCCCCTCGGCCGGGAAACTGGATTTTGGAGCGCTCCCTGGATGACGTTGAATACAAGCCCTGGCAGTACCACGCAGTGACGGACTCCGAGTGCCTGAGCCGCTACGGCATTTTCCCCCGCACCGGCCCTCCGTCCTACGCCCAGGACGACGAGGTCATCTGCACTTCCTTTTACTCCAAGATCCACCCTTTAGAAAATGGAGAGGTAAGATGGAAAGACGCCCCATCCAGTACAGTTGATCCTGCAAAGGAGGCCTCGCAGAAAGATCGCACACATCAGCAATTAATGTCAGGGAGATGTAGAAATGGGATTTAGCAGAAGACCGTTTAAATGAGTTATTAAATGAAAAGAAAAACCCGCAATGATTAGAATGTTAACTGCCTTCATATGTCGCCTATCTGAAGCAAAGATCACAGAATGGGAATGGGTTTAAGTTAGAAAGTCGGCGACTAATTTTACATAGAAAGAGATTTTCCTGACGATGAGGGTTGCTATGATTAAAGGGGACTCGGGTCCTTGAAGAAACTTGTCCCGTTATGTGTACTTTGCTTCCAAGATGGGGATGAGAGAGGAATTTGTGAGGTTATAAAATCTACATGAAAGGACCAAATAAAAAGACGCTGTCCTGGATGTTTCTGCTGTCCTACGGAGGACTGTGTAGGATTTTGGGCCCCTGTTGGGACCTTCTGGGACAGTAACGCCTGGGGCTTCTTGGGTTCTCAGCTACGTACAAACCAAGCCATATGTGCAATCCGAAAGTGCTCTTACCCTGGTGTGTTTCGCATCTTGTAATTAAGGTTTTAGAGGTATTCATTAGTTTTAAACCACAGATCCAAACTGTGACTTCCTTGTCGTTATTTGTTTTTAATCAAATTTCTTAAGTTCTCTATGGCTTGGCTTCATCCTCCATGAAGTTAAAACTGTTCGTTATCTTATATGATTGGCAGGATGAAGACATAAATGATATTTACAGCATTAATGCCAATGTCTACACTAAGGACTCTTAGCATTAACTATTTTTGTTCTTATCGTTTCTGTTATAATAACAGTAACTGCTATATTTGTCTCTATCCAAATCTTGTTTTGCTGATTCTTGAATCCTCTCATGCTTCTTACTAACCCTTCCTAAGTTGCCTCACCTTTTTATGTGGCTTACCTACTTAAACTCATACTCCTCAGCTGACCATGGGGTTTTGGCCAGGACGACCTATCATAAGTGGAAGAAATGGTATTTGAAAGTGTATTTAACCTACCCAGACTTCTGAACATCGTGGCTTAGCCTAGCCTACCTTAGCACGCTCGCAGCCCTTACCTTGGTCCACTATGGGCCAAAATCAGAGCAAAGCCACTTATCATGAAGTGATGTGTGACCGACGTAGTTTATCGAGGCATGGATTAAAAGTGAAAGCAGAAGGCCGTGCGGGTAGAGGAGACACCGATGAATACTTTGTGGTCATCACACAGCACATCAGGCACACAGGCTGACCACACAGAATGCTGCAGAGTGTCACTCACTGCGACCGTGTGGCTGACTGGGTCAGTACTCACTCCCACTCCAGCATCGTGAGTATAGATCACACCACACAGAGCAGCCCAGGAAGAGGCCCAAATTCATAAATCAAAGTACATTTCTACTGAATTCAGTTTGCTTTCTCACCATTTGAAAAAAAAATAAGTTGAACCCTCATAAGTCGGGGACTATATTCATACAGATATTCTTTTCTTCTAGCCCAACATCTGAAGCTAATACCATCATTTCCTTTTCTTATGGGAGTGTAGATTGAACCTAAGCCATTTGCAATGAGCTATATCCCTGGGCCCATTTTTTTAATTTTTGAGACAGGGCATCACTAAGTCTCTAGGTTGCCCATCCTGGGCTTGAGCTTGCCATCCTCCTGCCTCAGCCTCCCAGAGTGTTGAGATTACAGAGGGCACCAACATGTCAGGCTTTGTATCACCTTTGACATTCTCTCTTTCAGGAATCCCACATTCATATTCCGCCGTGCCTTCCCCACAGCAGTCAATATGGAGAGAACCCCTAAACGTTGCTGGTAGAAACTTAGGTTTTTGACATAAATCTGTCAGACTCCCTCTTGGCTACTTTACTGTGTGAATGTTTAGCAATGCCTTGCTCTTATTTCTAAATTCCATGTTCAAAAATACCAGTTTTTGGGAAAAACATTCCAAATGGAGCTCTCGGCAAGAGAACTCAGTCTGCCAAAGGACACAGAGTCAGATGCAGAAAGTTAAACAGCTGCTCCGTCTGCTCTGTGACCACAGATGGCCCACTCCTGGCCAGAGGATGCAGAAGTAGGGCACGCAGAGAGTGTATCTGTGTGTGCGTGACTTTTAATTATGGTTTTTCTGGGTCCAGTGTTTACCCAGAATTAATAATTATATTTTAAAGCTGCTGTGTATTTAAACTATGCTTCAAGTCATAAATTGGTTGAGCCATTTAGAAGATCCCTGGGGTAGAAATGTGGTGTTCAGGTTGGTGCAAACCCCTGGCCATGCGTTGTGTCCCTTGTGTTAGTGGGTGTTCTCCTTCCTCTGGATGTGTCCACCTGCCAGCATGGGACAGACAGAAATTCGCATTTGCTGCTTGTTTCTGGGCTATATTCTTTTCATTCCTACACAGCACTCACTAGAAGCCACTCGGTGATGGTGACTATTAAAGAAACCTCAGTTTTTGTCTGTGACAGATTTCTTTAATCTGTATCTCCTAGCACAGAGGCTGAAATAAGAAACGGAGAGTAATTCAAAATATTTTCTATAGAATGACAGAATTTAAGAATAATAATTAAATCCAAGCTTCTCCTTGACTACTCATTTTATATAGTTTATTTATTTTTTTTAAGAAAAAACAGGCCCTCTTAGGTGACTTTCAGATCACCTGCTAACAGCTGAAATGGGAATCCAGGTTTCCTGATTGGGGGCAAACGTCTGTTTCATACTCTGGCAAAGAGTAGAAATGGATTTAAGAAACCACGAGGTGGATAACTGCGAAACTTGAGGATGGTTAGAGCAGATATGGAGACTTGTTACTGCACCCGGTATACACAGAGTCCTATCCCGAGGTATCATCTCAAAGAAAAACATAAATGAGAGAAGTCCCAGGTTCTTACCCTGGGTCTCGTTCTTGATGGGGACCATAAGTGGGCCAGTTATCTGTCTGAAATTGAATATCTTTGGTAGATTTGTTTAATGTATAATTTGTTTTAAGGCATCTTCGTATTCTAAAGTAACATAGCTTGGGCTATCTTACAACATTTGGGGAAATTCTAAATGTTCTGGATGCTGGTCCTTAATAAATGTCAGTCTCATTCATTAGTTTTGGCAGTTTTTATTTGTTTGATTTCAGTACTGGAAATTGAATCCAGAACTTTTTAAAAAAATTTTTATTTTTTGACTTTTTATTTTTGAGACAGGGTCTTGCTAAGGTGCTCAGTTTCCCAAGCTAAGCTTGACTTGTAGTCCTGCTGTCTCAGCCTCCCAGAGTACTGGGATTACAGGTGTGTGCCACCATGCCTCTCTTTGTCAGCTTTTAGTTTTAAAATTATGTACTTGTGGATGAATCCTGACATACAATTATTATATATTAATGTTCAAAACATTCCAGAAAAGTGACTAAAATAAAACAAATAAATATACAATCTAGTAAATAAAATATGACAGTAGATGTAGGGACCAGGATGATAAATCACCCTAACCCTAAAATGAATGGAAGAGGTCAAGGTGAGATGACTTCTCCTACGGGTAAACCAGCAGCAACCCGGTATTTCAAACAGTTCAAGGCTGATTTATCCAGTGTTAACATTCGTGTATTTCCCATAATGTTTGTATGTTAAACTAAGATACATCGCCGGATTTACCTCCATTTTTGTAGCATATTGTCTTTAGCGGTGAATTTTGTTTGCAGGTTTTTTTGTTTTGTTTTGGGATATTTTGTTGTTGTTTTCTGATTTCCTTTGTGTGGAGAACATAGCTATTCAGTTACTGTCTCTGGAGTGCTTTTTCTCTGATGTTCTTAAAGATTTTTATATTTGCATTTAAGTAGTGTTACTATGATCTTCCAAATATGCATTGCACAGTATACCAGCCACTAGCCATATGTGTTTTAATCTAAATTTCAGTGAATTCAAATCATGTGAAAACTTGGTTCTGTAGTGGGCTGGGCACATTCCAAGTGCTGTTGGGCCTCAGACTTCCACACTGGACCGTGCAGAACACAGCAGGGTCATCAGTACAGGGCTCTGTCAGTCAGGCTTCTGTTCATATCCTTCTATGGTCTGGCTTGGGTGTGAAGTGGTTTCGTACATCTGCTGAGTGATGTCTTTCATAATTTCATGAAATAATTCACCCAGCGGCTCCCTAAATATGGCTTCCTCTCTATCCTCTTTTCCTCTACAATTATAGTGAAAAATGAGTTGGAACTTCTTTTTGTAAACACTATGTATCTTATACTTTTTAGTTTCTATTATTTTGTATATTCTAAATTTTTCTTCTGGTATATTTCTAGTTCATTAATTCTCTCAAGTGTGTGAAAATATATTCAAATAATTCACAATATTCTAATTTTTTGCATTATATTCTTTAGCTTTCAAATTTTCATATACATGTTTACTGTTTCCATTATATTGCAATCATGTCTATTAAATTTTTAAATAATGTAATTTATATTAAAATTTTCAATATTTTATTTTTATCTTCTTGGCCATAAAATAACAATATTTAAGAGTTTTTTTTTTTTTTTTTTT